TATATCTTTAATTTCCATATGCAGGATGGAGAGAGGGGGAGGAGAGGGGAAAAAGAAAATGGGAGAGAGAGAGAGAGAGAGAGAGAGAGAGAGAGAGAGAGAGAGAGAGAGAGAGAGAGAGAGAGAGAGAGAGAGAGAGAGAGGGGGGGAGAGAGAGGGAGAGAGAGAGGGGGGGGAGGGAGGGAGAGAGAGAGAGAGAGAGAGAGGGGGGGGGGGGGGAGAGGGAGAGAGAGAGAGAGAGAGAGAGAGAGAGAGAGAGAGAGAGAGAGAGAGAGAGAGAGAGAGAGAGAGAGAGAGAGAGAGAGAGAGAGAGAAAGAAAGAGAGAGGGGAGGTTGGAGAGAGAGAGAGAGAGAGAGAGTTAGATAGAGATACAGAAATGAAGAGAGTGAGAGTGAGAGAGAGAAAGAGAGTTAGAGAGAGATACAGAGAGGAAGATAGTGAGAGAGAGAGAGAGAGAGAGAGTTAGATAGAGATACAGAAATGAAGAGAGTGAGAGTGAGAGAGAGAAAGAGAGTTAGAGAGAGATACAGAGAGGAAGAGAGAAAGAGATACAGAGAGGAAGAGAGAAAGAGATACAGAGAGGAAGAGAGAAAGAGATACAGAGAGGAAGAGAGAAAGAGATACAGAGAGGAAGAGAGAAAGAGATACAGAGAGGAAGAGAGAAAGAGATACAGAGAGGAAGAGAGAAAGAGATACAGAGAGGAAGAGAGAAAGAGATACAGAGAGGAAGAGAGAAAGAGATACAGAGAGAGGGAGAGAAAGAGAGAGAATTAGAGAGAAAGAGAGTTAGACATACAGAGAGAGAGAGAGAGAGAGAGAGAGAGAGAGAGAGAGAGAGAGAGAGAGAGAGAAAGAGAGTTAGAGAGAGATACAGAGAGGAAGATAGTGAGAGAGAGAGAGAGAGAGAGAGAGAGAGAGAGAGAGAGAGAGAGAGAGAGAGAGAGAGAGAGAGAGAGAGAGAGAGAGAGAAGAGAGAAAGAGAGAGTTAGAGAGAAAGAGAGTTAGAGAGAGAGGAAGAGAGAAAGAGATACAGAGAGGAAGATAGATAGATAGATAGATAGAGAGAGAGAGAGAGAAAGAGAAAGAGAGGCAGAAACAGATAGAAAGAGAGAACATATACAATAAACTTAAAGGAAAAAGAAAGAAACAGCAAGAGCTAAAAAAAAAACTAAGGATGAAAGAAACAAACAAACATGGGGGCTTTGAGAGCACGAGTTCTAATGATAACTCACCAAACGCAAAGGAAAGAGAAGATAATGATACATATTCATCATTACTGCTTAGTTGAAATCTGACAGCAATAACTGTTTTGCGTTTTGGTACATTTAGGTTAATGTTACTTGACTCAGAGAAAAACAAAATGCTATTATCTGCATGGAAACTGAATAATGCAAAATCTAAATCTTGCCTCACACCTCCATTCTACTGAATAAAAGATAGTTTGATGTCTCTGTAAAGGTATGTAAGACTGTTCTCACATATTGGTAGATTTTAGCTATGATGTACTGTGGAAAAGAACAAGTTACTTCGAAATTAATACAAAAGTTGTTGAAAATCAAAGAACCACATATGATGATAATTACATAATACATCCCAACTAAAGATTACTAAAGATTTTTTTTTTCAAATCAAATTCATTTAATGGCAATACGCAAAGATCTAATCAACATATGAACGTTACGTATCGTATCGCAACCTGAAGGAAGTGGCGATTTTCATTTCCCTTCACGCACACCCCCAATGCCCTGGCTGATAACAAGTCCAAGATTTTACATTTTAATCACTTGGACGCTTTATTCAGTGGGTTCTTTGGTCATGCAAGAAGACCCGCCATTGACGTCACCGCGGTACGTGACGTGTGCGTAAAGAGACCGAATAACCGCCTTCCACAAGCCTGTTTCTGTCTGCTTGTTTCTGAGTCCTAAGTGGAAATGAAAATTAAGGAAAAAAAGCTCTAATCAATTTATAATCTTATCGGATGGATAGATGGTATTATGCCACTTTGTGTCTTTATTGTATTTCTAATCGCGTATTGAGTCATGAAACTTACTCTTTTTTTATTTCGATCATTTCCTCTAAGCGCATCCTTATAAAGTCATGTTCGTTGAATCAACTGTTTTCAGTTTAAAACTTTCTAATTCACTGTCTCTGTCGCTTAGCGTTAATGTTCTATACGCAGCAAATAGATTTCAAAACGTATGAAATAAACTCCAATTCTTAATATTGGGAGTCGAAACATACATACTAAAAGTCCTTGTATTGAAGACTCAGTACCTCGATAGGCCTACAAGCAGTATAAAAATCGTAATCAATTAAGTATAGGCCGCCAGTTTATCCAGATCAATAGATAACGACAATAATAATTTTAATCGACATTGATGAAAAAATAGAAATATCGTATGGTAATAAAATTATTTTGAACTATATAAGAACGAATACTTTTGACCTCACTAACAGGGATTTATAATCACGTGGTATGTGAGGACTGAACAAACCCCGGAAGTTCTTTCTACACTGAAACTGGACCTTTTTATGCTAAAACACGGAACAAAAATGCGCACCACACTCGACACTGGTTCATGTCAGCTGTACTTGCTAGCTTCATAATTCTTGTATAGAAACCTAAACTGGATTGCTGTGATACGAATATAATTTTTTTTATAGTATTCCCGAGTAAACTGGGAGTAGGAGATGGATAGATAGAGATAAATAGACAGATGAAGAGGAAGAGTGAAAGGAAGAGAGAGAGGAAAGAAGAGAAAGTAGGAAAGCAACGGAGATGGATTGATAGAGATAAATAGATAGAGGCAGAGGAAGAGTGAAAGGAAGAGAAAGAGAAAAGAAGAGAAAGAGGAAAAGCAACGGAGATGGATAGATAGATAGATAGATAGATAGAGATAGTGAGATAGAGGGATAGAGGAAGAGGGAGAGGGAAAGGGAAAGGGAAAGGGAAAGAAAGAGAGAGAGAGAGAGAGAGGAGAGAGGAGAAAGAGAGAGAGAGATAGCGTTATAGAGATAGAGATAGAGAGGGAGAGGGAGAGAAAGTGGGAGCGGAGAGAAAGAGAGAGAAACAGAGAGGAGAGAGAGAGAGAGGGAGAGGGGGAGAGGGGGAGAGAGAGAGAGAGAGAGAGAGAGAGAGAGAGAGAGAGAGAGAGAGAGAGAGAGAGAGAGAGAGAGAGAGAGAGAGAGAGAGAGAGAGAGAGAGAGAAATAGAAAGATAGGGAGATAGAGATAGATAGATAGAAAGATAGAGAGATAGAGAAATAGAGGGAGAGGGAGAGGAGAGAAAGAGAGAAAGAGAAACAGAGAGGAGAAAGAGGGAGAGAGAGAGAGAGAGAGAGAGAGAGAGAGAGAGAGAGAGGGAGAGAGAGAGAGAGAGAGAGAGAGAGAGAGAGAGAGAGAGAGAGAGAGAGAGAGAGAGAGAGAGAGAGAGAGAGAGAGAGAGAGAGAGAGAAAGATAGAGAGATAGAGAGATAGAGAGATAGAGAGATAGAGGGAGAGGGAGAGATAGGGGGAGAGGGAGAGGAGAGAAAAAGAGAAAGAGAGAAAGACAGAAAGAGAGAGAGAGAGAGAGAGAGAGAGAGAGAGAGAGAGAGAGAGAGAGAGAGAGAGAGAGAGAGAGAGAGAGAAGAGAGAAGAAAGAGGGATGAAAGTGAAACATGCAAATGTGACTTCCGTAGATACTGCCAACACCCATACCCACGTCCACAAAACAAAAACAAAAAAGTTATCATAATTTTGTGTGAATAATCGGTAATCATAAAAACCTTGAATTACTCCTTCTCATTCATCATAACTGTCACGTATCTACCACCCTTTCTCATGAATTCAAAAAAGAAAAATTGGAGGTAATCGGCTTATATCCATCTGTACTTAAATAACTACATAAATACATATTCATGAATTCATCTCTCCGACTAATCACATTTACTCTTTCAGTTTATATCAATCGTCTTATCACTTCCTTGGACCCTGGCTATTATAGAACTGAATGTATTTTCTGTGACGAGAAGATAAAGCCACAATCATAAAAAAATATGTTTTGTATTCACTCTCATTGGCACATTATTTTTTTTTTTCAATGGTTCGGAGATTTTCTTTGAAGTTAATAGTAGGTCGCTGTATTCAAAGAAATGCGGATCAGTTTTTTTTTCCGTGTACGACATTTTTCTTTATTTTTATTATTATTTTTTTTTTACATTAAATTGTCATTCTCGTGGCTTAAATCCGACATCTTTACTTACTACGTGTAATCATTAGAAAAGAATCTGTCTGCGTGTGCGTATGGCCCAAAATTCTCAATTTTTATCAAGAATCTACGATTACCAAAGGAAACGCGCAGCAAAACCATCCCTCGCAGGCGGACAGTCCTCCCTGCCGCGGACAAAAGAACAGCCCGCCATCGGCAGTAGCAGCAATGGCAACAGCCGGACGAGGAAGGTCGCTTGGCATCCCTGTGCACCCCTTCCCTCCCCCAACCTTCCCACCCCTCCCTTTCCTCCCTGCCCCCCCCCCCCTACGTTCCCATCCCCTCCCTGCCCCCCCCCCCTCTACATTCCCATCCCCTCCTCCCTTTCCCATACGGCTCCCTGTACTCTTCTCCTGATCCCCCCCCTCACCTCCCCCACCCGTCTAGTCTCCTTCCCACCCCTTCCCCCTCGCCTCACGTCCCCCTTCCTCGCCCACGTGGTGTTGGCCGGAAGTGGAATGGCCATGAACTGGACATCCTCATCACCCTAGTACCCTCGAGCACTTCCCGGTCCGACGACACCTGCAACAGGGGTGGGAGTGGGGGCGATGGTATGGGCATATGGGCGGGTGCGGGGTATGGCTGCTGATGGGGATAAGGGATAAGGCAAGTGATTGGAAGGGGGGGGGGGGGGAGAGTTGATTGTGAACAAATGAATGACCAAGACGAAGTACTGTGTCGCTCTTTCATTTAGAGGTGTTAGTGGTGGAATGTTTATGTAGCCGTGATTGATGAGGTCATTCCACTGTA